AACAGAAATGAAATTTTTAATGAGAAACTTTATGATCAATATCTCATATTAATGTTTTTGATTTTTTTAATTTTAAACAATTAAGAAAATCTCGATTGGCTAACTTTCATTTAACTTTTATTTTACAATCCCATATAGAGGTTTTTTTATTTTAAAAATAATTTTATATAAGATTTTTAAACTCTCATAATATCTCTCCTTAAAAGTATTATTTTATAAAATATATAGATATATTGATAATCTCAATGTTACTCTTACTGCTCCTTAATACAAAAATTATGAAACAATTATGATAATTTTAAATTTGTATTTAAAACTTATGAATTATGGGATAGATTATTATAATTTTAAATTTATATTGTGTCAATTTTAAATTTAAATTGATAGATTGCTTTTCATATTTAGTGACAGTTTAAATTTTAATAAAAAAAATTGAAATTTAATTAATTAATTTTTGTATAAGTTGGTTGGTCTTTTAACCTAACTGATTAAGCTAAACCATTTTTGATTTCAATGATTTGCTGGTTTAATCATGATTTTAGTGGTTTTACATGTTACGATGATTCTTTCTTACTCATTAGGTTTTTAAATTTTTTTAAATTATTTCCCTTTCAAAAACCAATATGACAATTTTTTTAAATTCATATATTTTTATTCTAAAATAGTGAAATATTAGAACTATATCATTTTTTATAACAAAGCATAATTTTAATTATTAATTGTCAATACATTAATTTTAATTTATCTATAATATATGTTATAATAAAGGAACATTTGAAAGGAAACCCTTAAACTTATATATATATATATATAATTTTATTTACAAGAGACAAAATATTAAAAAAAATAAATATAATTATCGTATTTTTATTAAATAATATATTATTTTATCTTATGCATAGCACGAGTGATATTCTAGTACTTTATTAAGGGTGTGTCTCAGATATATTTTTGGATAACTTACAAATACATCTGTTGAGATTTAATTAAAATACGAATCGTTTCATGTAGTTTTGGAAATTATATTCCATCCCTTGAGATTTCTAATTTCATAACAAATTGTCATTTTTATTAATAAATCATCAAATCAATTAACAATTTTTAATGATGTTAGAAATATATTTCAATTAATAATTTAAGTATTTTTATTATTGTATAAGAAAATAATTATGAATTTCATTTTTTTAATTAATTATGTTAAATAAAAAATTCTCCTAGGGGGACATTTATAATTTTTCAAATCACAGGAGACAATCTGTACAAATCTCAGAGGGTGTATTTGTAATTTACCCTAAATTTTTTTAGCCATCATTTTGTTAATCTTTTCATGTTTTAATTATTATTTTTAAAATTACAAGTTTTATTGGATTAGGTGGATCACAAAAGTTTTTAAAAAATTCAAAATTTCAAAATTAAAATTAAAAAAGTTGAAACAAGTGTACTAAAAAAACTGCCTTTGTTTTTTTTTTTTATCTATTTATATTTTGTCTTTATAAATTTTTTTTTGAATTTTTAAATCTTTCTACACTAAACTGACTTGAAAACTAAAATAAAAAAAATAAAAAATAAAAAATAACACAAATTTGAAAGAAAACCACTAAAGACCAAGAGTTTGAAAAAAAAAATGTAACTTTATATGTGATGGGTCCCAAACTGACTGTAAGTTTAGGGTTATTTATTTAATTTTTTTTTTCTATATCTTTCTTAAACTTTTTTTTTTTTTAAGTTTAATTCCTAAAATCTATATCATTCTTCAACTAATGTGGTTCAATTGGGAGAACAAATTTGTTCACCTTTTCTTAGTGGTGGACGAGTGGAGTAATCTCACTTTTCATATTTACAAGAGAACAATCACAATGAAGTACAATTTTCACACACTACAAGATTGTGTAAACAGATTTGCGTGGTACCTCAAATTAATAACCGTTCAAGCTTTAAAAAAATCATTTAAAATTTCGAAATTTTAAACAACACAACTAAACTCTGATTTCTTACTATTACTATTTTGAAATTAGAGATAATAAACAAGATGGATGTATTTATATATATATATATATATTAATTATATACAAGTCTACTTTTTAGATTTATTTTCTAGATCCGATGGTGTGTAAACAAGATAATTAATTGATAATTAGGAAGATATATAAGAGAGAGAGAGAGAGAGACTTGCCCCATATATTTTAATTGATTGTCACATCATCGAATTTGAAAAATATATATGTCTAACATTTTGATTTGTAAGATGGATGTATGCTTGTAGAGTATAAGTTGCCTAATATATAGTGTGTAAGTAAGAAGATGGGTGATTGGTTGTATGTTTATGTTGTCCAATTGTAAAATTATTTTTTTTGCCTATTTGTTTATGTTTCTATTATTATTGATTGGGCTTAACTGTCTCCAATTGACAAAAACTAAAAAATTATAGACTAAATAAATAAAATTGATAGTACTTTGGAGATGAAATAGAAAAAAATGACAATAATTTAAGTGATAAAACTTAAATTAGCCTTTAAGCTATCCGTCTATGTACCACTGAATAAATTGTCATTTTTCTTTCTTGGTTTTTTTGTTTTGTTTTTTTTGCATAAATTCAAAATATATATTATGTGTATATGGCTTGGCATATTCAAAAAATAATAATGATCTCTTTATTATCTGTATATGATGTATTATACAAAAATACATATTCTTATTGTGAAAATTCATATGAAAGGTGAGAAAATTTGATGAAATTCATCCAATAAATCAATTTTCTTGTACTAGCATGACCCATGTCTCTAGTTTTATGAGTGAGAACATATTCAAGGCATGGGCTCTAAATTTCTATTCTAGATAAATAAATAAAAAAAAAATTTTAAAAAAATTAGAACAATTTATTATAAAATCCAATCATATAACCAACTTGAACACTAGTCTAACATTCTCTAGCCAGCTAAAATATTTACTGTAAAATCACAATCATATAAAAATCAGGAATGATAAAAAATTTCCATTCAAATTTACTTTCATTATTTATTGTTTTACACTTAACACTAATTTTTAATGATAAAATTAAGGTAATTGTAATGACAAGTCATGCCAATCCAGGAGAGCAGGTGAGTATTTTTAATGACAATGAAGCCTATCCCAACTTTGTCAATAGAAACTGAAGATAGTGATGTACCTATAAACTATACAAGAATTAACGAGCACGGCAAAATGTTGACATGATTAGTGAAAAGAACAAACAAAAGAAAACAAATAAATAGAAATTGCAAATCAAAGAACCAATCAACATGATTCGTTATAGCATGCTTAAATCTTGCATTAGACGTCACCTTATCTTGTTATCCGGTAAGTTAGGGATTATTAAGGGACAAGACAATGTAAAGAAAGAACTTATTTTAATTTTTTAACAACTAAATGGGATTTGATTTGGGCTATCTAATCCTAACCAATAATCACCCTACACCATCAAGATAACTAATGTTGATTGTGTTCATGTTGAGCATTTTCCACTACTTGGTCCCAAAAGTAATTTTAAAAAAATAAAGTGAGAGAATAGTGACAAAAAAAATGTTATTGCATAATATATGCCCCAGAAGTGGAAGATTACTTTTTGGGAGCATAATGTTTGGTTTTGCTTTTTGAGGTCTTGCAAGAGAAGCTTCTTTCAAAGGTGGAACTTTTAAGGCCTTTAGCATTCTTTTTTTTAATGATTTTAGTTGATTGATTAAATTGAGCCCCACTAATCAATTTCTCATTGTTAATTCTACATTCCTTGACTATCATTTCATTCAAGAAATATATGTCTTGTAGATTCAAGACCAACATTGTCCAATGCTTACAATTGCTTAGATTATGTTCCCATCCCCATCCCAAGAAGAGATAGAGGGGTGTGAAACAGCCCAGTGACAAATGATTCTCACTCCAATTGTGCTATAAATCCATCATATAATAGTGAAAAAGTTATTAAACATATTAAACAAAATCAAAGAATTATATAAAATAAGTTAAAAATTTTCTTTTCTCTCTATTTTTTGTATATTTTTTCGTAAAAAGTTAAAAAAAATTCCAAACATGCTAATTTATTTTAACTCCTATTTTAGCTAAAAAAGTCATTTTTTTTTTATTAAAATAGCCTATTCCCAAAACAACTCCTAATTGAAGATAAATTATATCAAATTCAATATTAATTTATGTGCAAAAATATTTTAATATATAATCACAAATAATAATTGAATCTAATTTAATTAATTAAAACTTTTATACATGCAGTTAAATGATATAATGAAACATCTTTGTTACAGTCATACAATCAGGAGGAAGGAATAAGATGATAGAACTCTTAGCCAACCAACTACTTATCCCCTATTCTCAAATATATGTATATATATATATGAAATCAGATTCTATCCAGTCCATATAGTGGACTAGATCATATGGGGCTTACTACGAATCATGTTTCAATCATCCAAATCGTTCAATATGTAGAGCTTATCGAGTATTTCATTCTTACAAAAAATCACATTGACATGATATCGATAGCTACTTAATTAGATTAAATTTTTGTCAATATTTTTTTTAAATCATATTTACCATTGATAGAAATATGTTTTGATAAAATAACTATTGATATCTGATTAACGTGATGTTTTGCAAGAATAAAGCACTTAATGAGTTTTATATATTGAACAATTTGGATTATTGAAACAGGACCCGTAGTGGGCCTTCATAGGTCAAACAACAAGCTTCAATCCCATCTCAGACTAGAAAGAAGCCTAGCTCTATATATGTTTATATGAGAAATTCTACTATACACGTCTCTACTATGGTGGTGTTTGGAAACCAGGTTGGGGCAGATTTTATGCACCAACGGAAAAAATTTCAAAAAATGCGCATTGTAGCTGAGTCAATAAGCTAAGTCCAGCTGTATGGCACTTTGTAGGTAAAATGACGTTTTTACCCTCTGTTGCTCTACCTGTTTCGCACCATGACATTCATCTCTCATATCTCTCACAGAAGCTCTCTACCTGGACGCTTTAACCGAGTCGACTACCTCTTCGGCGGCTCACTCCGGCAGCACTGTTACGGAAGACGAAGTAGCCGATCGTCGAGGACCTACTAAGGTATGGTTGCCAAACACGATTTTCTGAAATTTATCTTTACCGATCTGCACTGATGATTTAGAATACTTCTCCCCTCTAATTTTTTTTTCTCCGTTCCTCGTTCAATAACCGATCTTCCTATTTATCTTCACCTGCTTGTGTGCAACAGAAATTACATTGCAATGCAAACCATTTTTCCTCTTTACCGTCTTCTTTCATTTTGGGTTTTGTTCAAATTTTCTTCACCAAATTTTTTTTGGCAAACAACTGCCATCTACATAACAACTACAAGGTTAAAAAAATTATTTGGCACAGACCATCTGGAAGTTGTCTGCATCGAATTTTTTTTTTCCCAATGAATTTCATGTCCTGTGTAGAGTACAAAACATGGACAAAATTATTTCTCAAACTTAATTTTTTTTTTTCTTTTCCAAAATTATTCCCATATATGAACTTTTGCTTTCATAAAAAATTAATAAAATTTCTAATTTACATTTGATGAATTATTAGTTTGGGAAATAATAATTATGTGGGAATTTCATTGAACCTGTTCTTTGTAGGCCCTAATTTATAGAATAAATAATTTCATGGTTCAGAGTGTTTGGATTTTTGTTATGGAATAGCAGATTCAACAAATAAATTGTGAAATGTCGTTATAGGGATATATTTTCTGAGTACCCAACACGTGGCCAAGGTGACGCCGACGTATCAGCTGAGGTGCCATGTGTCCAGGTGATGACGCCGAGGTGATCTCGGCAAGGCCGAGGTTATCTCCGAAGATATCAGAATCCGAGATAAGCAGATAAGGGACGAGAGTCCTAGAATAAGGAAGGACTTTAGCATGGATAAGGATAAAGCTCTTAGGGAGTTTATCTTTATCTCTTGAAGAGTCCAGGATAAGTACTGAGCAAGAGTCCATTGAAGCTAGGCTTCTAGTGGGACTAGGATTGAGTTAACTATAAAAGAGAGGCACCCCCGATGGGTCTAAGGTACGCAATTAAGACTCAGAATAGTGAATTTAGTATTATTGATTATCTTTGAGAGATATACTGATTTGATCGTCGGAGTGCCCCCGAGTAGACCAACCACTGCCGGAATCTTCTCTTTCTGTTGTAGGTCAGCCAGGTGTCATCTATTCTGCCAGTACTCTCTAGTTGAATAACTAAGTTGGCAGTGTGATCGGAAAATTACCCGCACAATTTGGCGCCGTCTGTGGGAAAGAAAGGAGAATAGATGGCCAGTGACGGACAGAAGGAAAAGATTGGGGACGACACTCATGCTAGGAGTGGCAGACATATCGACCTTGACGTCGAATGAGGCAACCGTAACACAGAAACTCGTGACCAGAATCACAGCAAGAAAGACGTCGGCCAAGATGGTGGCGTACCAAAGAAGCCAGATCGAAGTGGGTACTACAATGAGGATGACCTCCAGGTATGGAAGGGTAGATGCCTGCGGAGGGACGAAGAAGTAAAAGAGATGGCAAACAAATTGGCAAACCTGCAATCGGTCGTCAATTTCATGATGCAAAACAATGTCATGCAGCCACCATACCCATTGCAGGACACGTTAATTCCAGTGGCCAATGCCCAGAAGGGAGGGCAGAAGACAATCCCAATAGCCCCACAGCACACCAGAAGTGAAAAACACTCTCACCGGCCTTCCAGGGAGGTCGGGGGAGGAGAGTCGAGGAGAGAAGAATCACGGAGAACGCATCGCACCAAGGAGGCAGACCCTAAAGAACATCGGCATGTTCAGGAGCAGGCACTCATGAAAAAAGATCGAAAAGGACCCACCATGAAGCTGAGAGTAGTATGCCGAAGAGATTGAAGTCAGGATATAGCCAAGCTCCTGGGCGGAGCAAAGAAGACTTGAGAGATTATCTCAAATGCCGAGATAACTTCCCCTGATAAACCGAGAACACCATTCTCAGTGGAGTTAGACAAATTTGAGGCACCGAAGAGATTCAGTATGCCAAGGTTCCAAATATACGATGGTAAGTCAGATCCCAACTTCCACGTCAGATTATACTTGAACTCAATCGCATTGTATAGTGGGAACGCGCCGTTGCTCTGCAAAGTGTTCCCCTTATCCTTCGGGGAGATTGCATCAGATTGGTTCCACAAATTACCAAAGGGAAGCGTGAAAACTTGGGAAGGCCTGGCCAAGATGTTTGTGGCCAGGTTCTTAACAAACAAACTATATCCATTGAGGGTGGACGCATTGATGGCTCTGAAGATCAGTAAGGATGAAGGCCTTAGGACCTATGCAAAAATATACTATGAGGTGTTCAACCAAATACCAGAGTGTAATCAAGAGGTAGCGGTTGTATCTTTTAAGAACGGCCTAAAAGACAACTGTCTACTACGAAAATCTTTGGCAAAGACATTGCCAAAAAGTATGGAAGAGCTCATGGCGAGAATCGAGAAGTATGCCAGAGCCGAGGAAGACACGTCTTGGACTAAGGAGACAAAGCAAGAGAAGAGCAATGGCTCGCCGAAGCGAGGCCGAGGTAACAATGGATCAAGCAAGCAAGAGACAAAACTGAGGGTTACACAGGCAGTAACAACTGTGTTCCGAATCCCAATTCACAAAGTCCTGGATCAAATTCAGAATCAACCCTATTTCAGAACACTAGCAAAAGCACCAGGAGAATTCATGAGAAGAAACCTTGGCAGGCATTGTGCTTACCACAATGAAAACGGGCATATGACTTAGGGCTGCAGAGCCCTGAAAACACACTTGGAAGACCTGGTGAGGCAAGGCCATCTGAGAGACCTTGTCAATGAGGCCAGAACAAGGGAAGAACAAGCAAGATTGCCTCAAGCGACAGCAGCTTCACCTCTCCCAGCACAGCAACCACAAGCAGGAGGATCGCGTGTAATTAATGTAATTCACTCGAAGGTCAGCGAAAACGAGATCAGGGGGAGACCCAGAAGGTGAAGCACTTGCAACATGTCGACCAAGTCAGGGAGAAGAGACATCGGGCAGAGGAGTGCCAAGGACCAGTGTGTCCTTTTCTGAAGCCGACCTTGAGATGGTACAGCACCTGCATAATGATGTCTTGGTAGTATCCCTCCAGGTTGGGGAATGCCAAGTAAGGCACATCCTAATTGACCAAGGCAACTCTTGTGACATCATGTACGTCCAATGTTACAAGGAGCTTGGTGTAAACACCCCATTTTTGACCGACCTTAAGACTCAGACGTCATCGACTGAGCGCTCGGTGATGGTGTTTGTTGTGCTCGTTCTAAGGTTTCGGAGTTTTGGCTGAGAGCCTTACCCCCGGACTTCGGGACCCTTTTGTGCTTTGCCTCGGTTTGCGAATCAGGTTCTGTTTTCTCTTTCCAAAGGGAGGGAGAGGTCTCGTAGACCATTTCTCAGTGGCCGTAGGCTACTTTTCATGGTCGTAGGCCACTTTTCCCGTTTGGAGACCAGTTTCCAGTTTTCGGAGCCGTCTGTCGCGCGCCTCAATTCGAGACCGTTTAACTTTCTCCGTTTGGCACGGTTTTTGGCACACACCTTGTTTCCTCTCTCTATAGGGACATTGTGGCCTGGGAGACCACCTTTGTGGTCGCACGCCACTTTCGGTGCTTAACAGCCAGTGTTCGGGGCCTCCCGCCGCGCGGTTTGACCCCCGAACCCTCGTTTTGCATCCGTCTTGGTTCATTTTTGGTATGGACCTTGTTTTCATTGTTTGGAAGGTGGTACAAGGGTAGGAGACCACCTTTTCTCCTTGGAGACCACTTTTCCCCTGCCGACCGGTTTCCTTGACAGGTAACTGGTCTCCCTCACTTTTGGGCCACAATTGCTGGTCTCCTACCACACCACTAGCTTGCATTCAATTGGGAGACCACCATTTAGGGCTGCCGACTACTTTTCTTGAGCTTGGACCTTTTGAACTGGTCGGCTGACCAGGGGAAGTGGTCGGCTGACCACCTGAAGTGGTCAGCCTGCCTCCCTCAGTCTTGTCTCTGTGAGTTGTTGCCAGTTGTGCTAGTTGGAAGACACAGAATGGATCCTCCATACACGTGTATGGAGGATCTTCAAGTTTGTTTTTTAGCTTCTCTGAGAAGCTTTGGACCCTCTTGGCTATAAAGGAGGGCCTCCCCCTCCTTTGTGAAGGTTCAGGATTTCCCTAAGGCATACACACATACCTCCCTCTCTATATCTTTATTTTGTGTTTAAAAAAGCTAAGTTCTTGCCCCTTTGCACACTACCTCTTAGCCTAACACCTCCAACACCAACCTAAGCTTCTTGGAGGGTCTTGAGAGGTCCTAAGGAGCTGCATTTTTGGTCCATAAGCTGCTGGAGTTGCTGAGCTACAAGGGTAACACCCTATTCCCTCTTTTGAGTTTTATTTTGCTCTATCTTTTAGCTACACTTGCAAGCATATTTGAGCTTTTGTGTAAACTAAAAAAAGTCTTATTTTGAGGTTCTTAACATGTTTGTTTAAGATCATTTTTCTGTTGGGGGTCATCTACCCCCTTGCATGCTTCATTTTGCCTTATTTTGAGCCATGCATTAGGGCCTTTGCATTGACCTTTGTTGTCCTTCTAGCCACTAAAAACTAGTGGATTTTCAGTGGCTAGCATGCTATTTTGAGTGCTAAAATGAGAGAGGGGTGACCCTCTCTCCCCTTGTTTTGTTTCCTAGCATCTTTGGCTTAACAAAGGAGCCCTTATTTGCATGCTTTCGAGCCATGTTTCAGGCCATTTTTGGTGAGTTTTAGGACCTTCATAGGCTCTGTCCAGAGCTTTTTTTTCCATATTGGGTGTCCATCTTGCATGTGTTGAACAACCCTCTTCATAGCTCATCAAAGGAGCATGCCATTCTTGCATGCATTGACTATGTTTCAGTGAGTTTTTTGGCTTTATTTGGCATGTCATGCCTCTGAGTTTTGCTGGTTTAGTGACCTCTTGAATGCCTCATATGCTTGTAGTGTAAATCCTCTTTACTAGCTTACATTGTATGCTATTTTGGCCTTTGATTCTAGCATATTTTGGCCATACTCCAAACTGATTTTGTGCATGTTTTGGACTGCCTTAGCTTTGTTTTTAGGCCTCTCGGTCGAATGATGCTTGCTATGCATGCTTGTAGTGTAATGCCCATGCCTAGCTTTGAGTTTTGAAGCTTCTTGCATGCTTGAATGGTGGTGTTTTCATGTTTTGGGGTCATTGAGCATGTCATTTCAAAGCTTATACTTGTGCCATATTCCCATGTTTTCCACTCTTTAAATGTGTTTGAGAGTCGTGCTTAAATACCTTATTTATGGGCCATTGCATGAGTTTCATTTCCATGCCTTTCGAGTCATCATTTTAGTCCATTTTCCTATTGTTTTGGGCCTGCATAGGGACTTTTGGGGGCTGGTTTGGTCATTTGTGCATTGCTTTGCATACCTCTAGTGTAATGCACTTCACTAGTTTCGGTATCCGGGCCATCTAGTATGCATTGTGTGAGGTGTTTGCATGATTTGGAGCCACTCTGTGTGACATTTCAGAGCTAAAAAATGTGTAATTGTATGCCATATTTAATCCCTTGCCATGCCTTAGTAGAGTTGCACTTTGTGCCTTAGGTTTGGTCCCTCGTATTGTGCATGTTTGCATAAGTGTTGTTGCCTTAATTTCATCATGTTTGGCCACTGATTTGGGTATGGCTAAGGCTCACCTATCTTGGTTTAAGTCCATCTTGGTTTAAGTCCATGTTGTTGCATGGTTGACCATTGCATTGTGTATGCCTTGATCATTTCATTGTTAGTCTCCATGTGTGCATTGCGTATGCCATATAATTTTCATGTGCATTGAGTATGCCATTGATTATTTCATAGCATTGTGTATGCTAGTAGCATGTTTGCATATCATCATTTGCATATTTGCATCATTTAGTGGCATTATGTTTAGGTTGCATGTTAGAGTTGCATTCATGCATGCCATGTGTATTGCATTGTGTTTGGAGTAGGGTTTAGTTCGAACACGGGAAACGAGGGACGTTTTGTACTCCAAGTGACAAAACGTGCCTCGATTCTCGGTCACTGACACTCTTGACTGTCCATGATTGAGTTGTTGGCTTTACTTGCTTATGTTTGCATTCATTTCACATCGAGTTGTGCAATTTGACCCCTCGGCCATCATGCATCGAGATGCATGATTGGTGACATGAGGATCGAGGACTACACTCCCTGGAGCTTGTGCAATGATGGGGAGAGTGGTCATGCACACATATGTTGAAAATACTTTGCCATGCCCCTTTCTTGCTCTCTGTTGCAGCAAACCAGAAACCAGAAACCAGTAGCAAAAACTGGTCGGCAGTACCCCTACAGGTTCCCATGGTGGAGTTTCAGCCTTCTGGAGTTTTGTACAGTGTTCAGGGACCGGTTGCAAACAGAGGCAAATGGGGGCATCGCGATGCATTTCCCGACAAGGCGACTCGGGCATGCATGCATCCCTTATCATTCAAGGCGGAGCTGAGGCAGTCCATTGCATATAGATTTGCATGCTATTTTTATTGCTCACTTAGTTAATTTTTTAAGTAATTAATGTTGTGTAATAATTAGCCGTAATTCGTTATTCATTTCGGTTGTGTAATAATTAGTTAAATTAGCTTAGATTAGTTAGTTGATTCTATATTATTCATTCGGACCCTCCGAGAGAGGGCAATGTTGTAATAAGTGTGTGTGTGTGTGATGCATGCCTTCCAACCCCACGTCTTTCTCCCTTTTATTTACCAGTTTATGATGGTTAGATTAGGGCATGTTTCAATTAGCATCCTTCATGTTCGCATGTTTGCATCCATTCATCTGTTTTACATGCATCGGGCTCGGCGCATCATACTAACTGCATGGTATTTCAAATCTGAGTTGAATACATGATTTTTGTATCATTTCATATGTCATCTTAGAATAGCCGAGCCTATCTTAGTTGCATACTTGCATGTGTTGCATTAGGCATTTCAGCATAGTTAGGATTCATGCATGATTTCTAATTAGCTTCTTTCTTTGGCTTGGAGTACTCGGTAAGTATTTATGCTTTAGCATCCTTGCATGCGTGTGAGTGACCGCCATGATAGCATGCTTACTATGAGGCTATTTGCTTATGTGATATAACTGTCTGATTGCCTGTGGGTGAAGGTTGGATTATTTAAATTGGAACAATTCATCGATTGCGAGTTTTAAGCCCACTTGAGAGTGGCAAATCACCATGTTTTCTAAGCCCACTTGAGGGTGGCAAAATCCGCATTTTATCCTATTTACGAGTAGCAAACCGATTTCAAAAACAAACATGAGATTTTTTGTTCCAACTTAGACGATCCAGTCTATACTTGTATGCTGTGCGCATCACGTAGCAATTCAAGGCTAATAAACCGGAATAAGAGCACATAATGTTTTCAAAACTCGATATCATGGTTAGTAGAGGCTGATCTTTGATCGGGCGAGCGGGGGTGCTCACGAAGTGACCTCCCCCAATCGTACCCAAGTTCCCGAGCCGAGGTTACTTTGGTGATGACGAATACGTGGCCTTAGGCACGAGTCAGGGTTTCCTAAATTCCCCCAAAATAAAATATTTAGGTGGCGACTCTGTATCTGGCAAAACAGTCCATGTTTGGCACTTCTTTCTAAAAATCAGTTTTTCAAAACGATCTGTCGGATTTAGACTCTTTGATGATTCATCGGTCTTGCATTGCACTCCGCGAGATTAGATACAGGACCGTGACATTGAGTCCGAACTGTAGTGAGCCCAATGAACAAAACGGGATTTCTCCCTGGACGTTCGGGGATGTCTATACTTGGCCTTCACCCAGACGATATGGAGCAATCTAATAGCCTAATGGTTGGGTTCAATGGAACGCCGACATGGCCACTAGGAATAACCAGCTTGGAGGTGCAGGCAGGCACCAGAAAGATAACAACAGAGTTCACCATAATTGACACACCCTCCCCTTACAACATCATTTTGGGAAGACCATGGTTGTATGCAATGAGGGCTGTTCCCTCAATTTTGCATCAACTATTGCGGTTCCCAACAGAGCATGGGATTGAGGAGGTCAGAGGAGATTAGCTGCAGGCTAAGAATTGCTCCATGGCAGTAATGAAATCCACCTGCAGCATAAGAGAACCAAAAAAGGTAGAGATCGAAGACGAAGACGTGAAGGTCTTAGAGGATGTCGGCAATGAGCCAGCCGAAAAGAGTGAAGAAGCACTGAAAAAAATCCTCGTCCAGGAAGGGGATGCAGAACACTTCTTTCTTCTCAGCTCGGGCTTAGCCGAAGAAGAGGAAAAAGAGTTAGAAGCTTTTTTGAGAGCAAATATTGAGGTGTTTGCTTGGACACCTTATGAGATGCCTGGCATTGACCCTGAGGTCACTTGCCATAAACTGAATGTTGATAAGTCGGCAAAACCCGTAATCCAACGAGCAAGAAGACCAACGTTGATACACGTTGAAGCAGTGGAAGAGGAAGTAGACAGACTTCTGGAGGCTAGGGCCATTCGAGAGGTAAATTACCCGACATGGCTATCAAACACAGTGGGGGTGAAGAAGAAGAAGAATGGTAAATGGAGGGTCTGCGTGGACTTTACCAGCCTGACAAGGCTTGTCCCAAAGACAGTTTTCCTCTACCCAAGATTGACCAGCTGGTAGACGCCACTTCGGGGCATGGAAGGATGAGCTTCCTGGATGCCTACAGGGGATACCATCAGATAGCCATGTATCCCCCAGATGAGGAGAAGACAACGTTTATCACCCCAAAAGGTCTGTACTGCTACAAACACTACTACAAAAACAGATAAAGATCACACTTTTTTTGTGTGATGTATGTTATTTAATCACACCTTTTAAGTTTTATTAAAGTGTGATCTTTGGGAGTGTGATTAAAAGTGGTCATTTTTAATCACACTTTTTAAGTGTGATTAAAAATATTTAGATCACACCTTTTAAGTGTGATCTTTGGAAGTGTGATTAAAAAAGGTCATTTTTAATCGCACTTTTTAAGTGTGATTAATAACATTTCGATCACACCTTTTAAGTGTGATCTTTGGAAGTGTGATTAAAAAAGGTCATTTTTAATCGCACTTTTTAAGTGTGATTAATAACATTTCGATCACACCTTTTAAGTGTGATCTTTGGAAGTGTGATTAAAAAAGGTCATTTTTAATCGCACTTTTTAAGTGTGATTAATAACATTTCGATCACACCTTTTAAGTGTGATCTTTGGAAGTGTGATTAAAAAAGGTCATTTTTAATCGCACTTTTTAAGTGTGATTAATAACATTTCGATCACACCTTTTAAGTGTGATCTTTGGAAGTGTGATTAAAAAATAGTACAAATACCTGACAAACAGAATAATTATAGATTGCATAAACATGAAGAGCAGAAGATAGCTAGCTCTACCAACAATGTTTTCCTCAATCATTGGCAACTTAAATTACAAGTTCTCTTTCTACTTGTAAATATGATGAATTGAGGCTGAGAGTACATAGAAATATTATTTGTTCACAATTTAACAATGAGACAAAAACAAGGTGAGTCTTATATTCAATTCTAGAATTAAATTTGTCATACAATGCCTTCAATCTAAATTGCCATTCTCTATAAATTCATAGACTAGAAAAAGAGAGCCCTCTACGCAATACCCAATCAAACGCACCTACATTAGATGCCAATGTAAGTTACAATGTCTATATAAATACATATATGTATATATACTTAACATCGTCCTTTATATTTCAAAGATCAATCAGTTAAAAGATAAGAAAAAGTCGCTTAATGATATCACAATCAAAATTAGAAGACAATTGGACCCTCAAGTTTCCATCAACAACAAAATTGTACTGTAACAACCAACCTACTGAAATTCCATATGATAATACACTTTAAATATTCATCTCCTACCGTAGAAGACTAAACCTGTGAATACCTCAACCACAGAGACTTTTAAACAATCAAAAAAAAATCATGATAAATTAAATGGCGCAATGTAAATATATTGGTCATCAAATTACCATGAAATGATAAATTCTGGAGGATTAAAAATAAAAAGGATTCCCCAAAATGGAAGTAAATATCAATCAATTCCAATTACTCCAGGTTCTAAATGTCAGTGAAGTCCATATCAAATCAACAGAAGTGCATGTGCATATATTTACTAACAAGATAACCACATCTCAGATTTAAGCATGATGGTGTGTTTGTAAAAATCTGTGGTACACGCACAAAATATCAAATCATGCAATGACAATAGAGAACAGAGTAACCCAACCAAGACAATTAAACAATATCTTTCACACTGGTGAAGTGAAACTTAAAACTAGTAAATTGCCAAAAAGTCGCAACATCAGCAATGCACAAGAAGCCAATAGAAAGAGGGCACAACATTCGCAATGTCTAGTTTTGAAAATGTAAAAATGAAGAGAGCAATTTCTGCATTTCGCTGTTTCAGTAGGGAACAACTGTATACTTGAGGTTGGAATCCAATGTAATGATTAATGACCCAATTGTCGCAATGCACATTCATAGTCATCCACCAGTCTCTGTTAACTTCTCGAGAATAGTATAAAAGTGTGTTTAAGAAGAAGTTGCATCTACATGTGCACACAAAAACATGCGGGTGATGTGGCTGTATTTAATAAGCCACTGATTACATTTTTAAGGGGATATGCATTGACTGTGTTCATAACCAACTAATATAGTCTGAATTTCCAAAACCATCCCTTTATTTTACTCTATTAAATGCATTCATACTCAATAGAAGGCCAGCAATTCTGCTTTGTAGAAGAAAGTGTTGGGCAACTGAGATGAGAATGCTTTGGATAGATTTGTGGTAAAACTAAAAAAGATAGATTAGAAATGAATATATTCATGAAATGGTAGGAATAGAGAGAAAACTACTTAACATGGAAGACTTGAGCTGACATCTGATGCATACTCACCACAATCAAAGAAAATATAAATTTATTTAATTTAACAGAACATACAAACTTTGATAGAGCTAAATGACCACAAAAAAAAAAAAAATTATGTAGCCATCCCCACTTGATTGAGACACAAGGTTTAATTTGTTTCGGTTTGGTAAATGCATTCATACTCATCCAAAAATAATGATATTGTAAAATGCAAAATAAAATACCTTTCTTTTAAAAATGGACAACAATATTGGAATATGCCAAAAGGCATTAGTGGACAAAAAGAATGGAAAGTGGGGAATATAAACAGGCATGAAAGTAGCTATTTTGGAGGTAGATTGTCCTTCTTTATGCTTTAACAAGAAAAATGTTTTGCCCACCCATACAGTCAATTTGGCAGGGCATCTAATTTCTGGCATCTTATATTATAAAGGAAAGCACACTTGGATATTACAGGGTTTTATGAACTAGAGGCCTCATGAATTAGTTAGGTTTACTATTAAAAAAGGAAAAAATAAAAATAGAAGGAGCAAGAACCACCAAACAAACAGAACATTTTTCAATGAAAAATATCCTCATCTGTTTGTATGTGAGCATGGAACAAAGAATTTGGACATCCCAGTTCTTTGGAGTTAGGCCAGCACGCACAACAATGTCTGAAGTTGCCATGCATTCAAGACACTCACCATGTTAGCCTACATGGACTTCATTTGCCCCTAGATACAATGCTTCACCTGGTTTAAGCTTCACATAGTTAAAGAGGAAAGCTAATAAATTGGATTTTCCTCACATTAATCAGAGAGCACAATTACAAACTAGAAGCACAAAGTTAAAAGTCAGTGAATAACATGAAAAAAAGATTGAGAGGACTTACCACTCCATCCTAAAATCCTGTCTTCTCTAAAAGAGTCAATATATCAACAGGATCAACAAGTTCATACTCATTAATTTCCTGAGGAGCTGATAAACAACACGGATATCAGGTCCAAGCATTCAATGGAAAAAAATTAATACATACTTCTAAAAAAAAAATTAAAACAAGCATTCAATGCTGAAATTTAGTACTATTTCTTTCAACTTCGTTTCATCCATCCAATACTTTAAAAAACAAAACAGACAAATTCTAATAACTTCACAGGTTGGATCACATACTATCTGTAACACATTCTTCAGAAGGGCCAGAGCCCACAACTTCAGACACAGTTACTTGCTCTGGCTCCTTGTCTTGCTCAGATCTGGAAGTAAAAAAACCAAAAGATAAATTAATATAGAGAATAAGCACTTAGTTTGTGGTAATGTCCTTTAGCTTTAGCCAGTAAAAGAGTTAATATCAGAGATGCGTTCTGTGTAGCATTACAAGAATTGAAGACATGCAAAAATTCAAGCCCAAGCAAATCAACAAGAAATGAGCCCATTCCAGGTTTGAACCAATTCAAAATGAGGATTGATCCAAACCAATAATAATAATAACACAAAAACAATAAGAACATTTATATGAACCTGCAGTCACATAAATCCAGTCCACGTGAGCAACTACAGAGACAATTTGTAGAAAACAAATATGATGCAACAATATGGTTAGCTAAACTTATGAGCAAAAAGGAAAAAACAGTATCAATGACCATAGATGAGAAAAGTGGCCATACAAGAAAATTAACAAATTGTCAGAAAGAAAAGAAAATATATTTTCCAAATGGAAATGACTGAAGACATCACCAAAAACAACACAAGCTCAAATCCTAATGAAAACTACTCTACGAAATGCCAACAAATTAGCCAATAAATTGAGAAAACAAATCAATATTCAGGAATTCTTTTGATAAAAAAGATGCCTGGATTCTCATGGGATGTTAAAGAACCGACTCATCCATGGCCATTTCCACAGGCTTGGGATTCGTCCGAAGGGTATATATATATATCAAACCTTCTTTGTATAAACATAGATTTGTAACCATTAATTTCATTTTCATGAAGGTTCGATTAGGCTCTGTTGCAGCATTTGAAACAGTTGATGAACCAGAGTCTCAATGTTGACACCCAAACAAACCCAACACTCAAATAGATCCAACAACCCATAACATTAATCCATCGATCAAAATTCTACAAACCCATAATCGAAATTGCAATTAAAAACACCAAATAATCGAACAAATATGGAGTGAATGTGTGTGTGTGTGTGTGAGAGAGAGAGAGAGAGAGAGAGAGAGAGAGAGAGAGAGAAGGGTAGAATCCGAACATACCTCAAGAATCGAACTGATACTTTTTTTGATCGAAGAGAAGAGAACGAAACCCTTCCATCGTCGCCGCCGCCCAAGCAGTCTCGCCGCCGAAGAGAGAGCACTGTTTCCAGGTTGAAATCTCCAACAAACAAGCAATTGCTTCCTTTCTAGATAAAGGTTTTAAAGAATAGAATCGCCAACTATATGAAACATTATCAGAGCACCATAGATTAGAGTAATAGCTGAATGGAGCATACAGATTGTGAAGAGTATTTAATTCAGTAAGTGGTTAACATAAAAACAAACTTCAAGGCGAATTATATTTTATAAGCATTCATTAAAACCATAGGCAACAAACAACTCGTTACTTTGCCTTGTTTTCCTATAACTCTTTGGACACATTCCAATGCATTTTCCTGTGAAGGAATTATGACACAACAATGAGAAGATGCTTGTCTATATAACTTGATGCTACTTCCAGCGATCTTCAATCAATTACATAAATTACCTTGTGATAGGATCTAAGGTGCCGCATAACCAGCATTGCTTAACTCCGGGAATCCAGAAGGTCAAACCTCCCAAACTTGAATCTAATCAATAATCTAAACAACTTGATTGAAAACATTTTAATACTGTAGTCCATTTCAAACTGAACAAACAAAAGCCAAAGAAATACTTGTTTCTTGACCCCAAGGGCTCACTATCCAAAAGCAGGCTGTCAAGTAGTTTGAGTAGAGAACCTTCCCAGAACATCCTAAAATCTTGAACAGAACAGGTCACATTATACAAAGTAGTGAAAGCACTCACCGTGATTGTCATCCCCTTCAGTAACAGCACAGGTAATCATCTCACTGAAATGAATTCATAGAATCATTAGTGCAGGCAACATTTAACTTTAAAAGACACTACTACTATCTTCTTTGATCAACATCAATCTTATAGAATAGAACAGCTAGTAAAAAGTACATAACGCCCTGAATGATTAAATTCTGGTCTATAAAAGCAGCATTTTTGAAATTAACTGGTTAATCAAACTACATCAGGTCTTTTCCAGCATGGATCCACCTACAACCAATATGTCTAACCAAATGATTCAAATCACTTCAAAACAAAAATTTTAATTTAAAAAAATAACTAGAAAATGCCATGTGATGATGACTACCCATCCTCGTATCACTCACTCCTATGAAAAGATGGTAAGGCTTGCAATCTAGCATAGAGTCCCAATTCAACTATAAAAATTAAATAATAATAAATAACTACATAAATAAGGAACTAGCTAGAAAGATCACTTTGATATATTGTGAGGACCAAAATACAATTTCATTGCGAACGACATAGCATTGTATGAATCTTCAATTTAGCATGATGGACATGATATAGATTAATTTAAATTTTAAAGAAAAAAATGCACTTGGAAATTCCCAACTTTTTAGTGTTAATGAGGCACTAGCACAGATATTCAAAAGTTTCTTAAGTGAATTATACTATTAAAGAATAGCATGAGTTGTGTGATTAAAAAATATATATATAATCACACTTTGTTTAAAAAGTGTGATTAAAAAGTAGTAGTGTATATATAATCACACTTTCTAATTAAAGTGTGATTAAAAAATATATATATAATCACATTTGTTTAAAAAGTGTGATTAAAAAGTAGTAGTGTATATATAATCACACTTTCTAATTAAAGTGTGATTGAAAAATATATATATAATCACACTTAATTGAAAAGTGACATAAAAAATAAATATTATCACACTCAATCAAATTAAGTGTGATTAAAATATCAATATAATTTTTTTTATCACACTTTCAATAAAAGTGAGATCTTTTTTTTTTTGTCAAAGTGTGATCTTTAACTATTTTTGTAGTAGTGAGAGTGATGCCTTTTGGGTTGAAAAACGCAGGAGCAACTTACCAAATACTGGTAACCAAAATGTTCAAACACCTGATTAGCAGAACAGTGGAAGTCTACATCGATGACATGGTCGTAAAGACCAAGGAACCTAAAGGTCATCTGGCCGACCTGAAAGCAGTCTTTGACATCCTTAAAACATATCGGCTCCAACTCAATGCAGCGAAGTGTGCATTTGGAGTGGGATCTGGTAAGTTCTTAGGATACCTGGTGACTAGAAGGGGCATTGAGGCCAGCCCAGATCAGATTAAAGCCATCCTAGAATTGAAGAGCCCAACGTCGGCAAAACAGGTACAAATGTTGACTGGAAGGGCCGCAGCCCTGAACAGGTTCATAAGCAGAAGCTCAGACAAGTGCAAACCTTTCTTCAACTTAGTGAAGAAAGCCACAGATTTTTTATGGACAGAAGAATGCGAGGCCGCCCTGGCCGACCTGAAGAAGTATTTGACCACAGCTCCAGTTCTTTCAAATCCAGAACCTGAGGAGGAGTTGTTCCTATGCTTAGCAGTTTCAGAACACGCAGTAAGCGCAGTAGTAATCTGAGAAGAAAAAAAGGGAGCAAAGGGCTGTTTACTATGTAAGCAAAACCCTGGTCGATGCAGAAACAAGGTATCTACCCTTAGAGAAATTGGCACTGGCTTTAGTAATGGCTTCAAAGAACCTGAACCATTACTTTCAGGCCCATAAAATTGTGGTGTTAACTGAACACCCCTTGAAGTCTTTGCTGCAACAAGGAGACCTGACAGGAAGAATAGCCAGATGGGCAGTCGCCTTGGGCCAGTATGACCTAGAGTACAGACCCAGAACAGCAATCAAAGGCCAAGTTTTGGCCGACTTCGTGGTGGAGTTCACTCCAGAATTCATCGAATATCAGGCTCCGTTGAGACGAGGAGAACGATGTCCAAACAAACAAGAAGGAGCCCAGCCAAAGGCGAAAGAACAAAGCAAAGAGGAAAAACTCAGACCCTGCAGCCATGGTTTTAAAAACTGGACCGGACCGGCCGGTTCAACCGGTTGAACCGCCGACCGGTCGAGGTTCCGGTCCGGGTACACCCAGTAAACCGGTCATAGTCGAAAACCGGCCTCTTTTGAGAGAACCGGAAAAACCGCCGGTTGAACCGCCGAACCGGTTGACCCGGTCCCGGTTCACCGGGTTTTAAAAACGGATTTTTTGTATTTTTTTCTTTGTTTTTTTTTATTCTTTCTTTCTTTTCTTTCTTATAATATAATATAATATTATATATATATATAAAAGAAAACTTTAATTGAAAACTCTTTTTCAAGGGTCTCCTCTTATGAGGAATCTCATTAAGAGCTTGAAATCATTGTGAGAGTTTCTACTTATTTATAAGAAAAAAAATCTTCCAAAAAAAATTCAAAAAATTCATGTGGGATTCAATCAAATTTACTGGAGGAAGAATTGAAATTTTGATATCCCTCCAAAATTTTAGTTTTCTTTCAATCAAATTATTTGAATTAAAATCATATGGAGGGAATATTGAATATTTGATTTCTTCTTCCAAAATTAAAATTAATAATATTTTTAAATATATTTTTATATTTTTTAATAAAAAAAGTATTAAGAGAAATATTTAAGATTATTAAAATTTTTAATTTATAATTTTATTACTTATATTTTTATTTAAATATAATTTTAATATATTTATGACGTCACGGTTCGATTCCGGTTCAACCCGACGGTTGAACCGGTGACCCGTCCACCCGATCATTTTTCCGGTTCACTCACCGGTCCGATTTTTAAAACATTGCCTGCAGCATTTACATTGACGACTCCTTTCGACTGTTTGTCGATGGAAGTTCAAACCGGTAAGGAGCGGGGGTAGGAGAAGTACTGGTATCTCTAGATGGAGAAGTATTGGAACAGTCCATTCGATTGGGGTTCAAGGCCTCAAACAATGAAGCAGAGTATGAAGCATTGATTGTAGGACTAAAGCTGGCGGTAGCAGTAGAAGCAGATGAAGTGATAGTCTTCTATGACTCCCAGCTCATAGTCAACCAGACGACGGGCGAATTTGCAGCCCGAGATGAAAGGATGTTATCCTACGCAAAGGAAGTCAACAGGTTAGTAGCTTTGTTTCAGAATTGCCGACTACATCAGGTTAGCCGAGGTGATAACAGTCACGCCGATGCACTAGCCAATCTGGCCAGTGCAATACAACCTGGAAAAGCAAGGACGGTAATGATCGAATACTTGTCAGGCCCGAGCATCGAGCCACTGACCACAGAGCGTGAAACAATGTGTGTGGACATGGGACCAAGCTGGATGGATGCAATTATTGCATTCCTGAAAGAAAGAAAGCTGCCCGACGACCACAAGGAGGCACACAAGATCAGATTGAAGTCGGCAAGATTCAGTCTAACAGCAGAAGGACATCTCTACAGAAGATCTTTCACTGGACCTCTTTTAAGGTGTGTACACCCATCACAAGTTGAAGATTTTTTATATGAAATACATGAAGGAATCTGTGGAAGCCACATCGGGGGAAGATCACTAGCCCACAGGGCCATTACCCAGGGGTATTGGTGGCCCTACATGCAAAAGGACGTCAAAGCCTATGTCAAGAAGTGTGAAAAATGCCAAAGGTTTGCACCACTTATACACCAGCCAGCAGTAGACCTGAATCCAGTATCCAGTCCTTGGCCGTTTGCCCAATGGGGCATGGATCTCGTTAGGCAACTACCCCAAGCAACTGGACAAAGGAAGTACTTGCTAGTAGCAACAGATTACTTCACCAAGTGGATAGAAGCTGAGTCCCTAACCAAAATCCGAGATGTGGACGTGAAGAACTTTTTATGGAGGAACATCATCACCAGATTTGGGATTCCGAGCTGACAATGGATCACAATTTGACAGCAAGCTAATCAAGAACTTTTGTGCAAAGTTCAAGATCAAGAACTACTTTTCAACCCCAAGCTTTCCTTAAAGCAATGGACAAGCAGAAGTATCCAACAAAGTTATCCTAGATGGGATAAAGAAGAGGCTGCAAGAAGCAAAAGGAAAGTGGGTGGATGAACTACGAAGTGTGCTCTGGGAATATCGGACTATGCCGAGAAGATCAACAAGAAAATCCCCCTTTGCCATGGCTTATGGCACAGAAGCTGTTATTCCACTGGAGGTCGGCATCCCTGGGATCAGAACCCAGGGAGTAGAGAACGGGACTAGTGACATACTCTTAGCTCGAGATCTAGACTTGCTAGAAGAA